AAAAAAAAAAAAAAATTTTTTTTTTTTTTTTTTTTTTTTTCAAAGTTGTGTGAAAAGAATAAATATTGGTAAAGAGAAATTGGAGATAATATTGAAAGATAATTTAAGGACGTTATGGAGCCGCGGTTTGTTATCCCCAACAATTTTGGTGATTTGCGTGAATAGAATCACAGCCATGCATGCAGAGGAGTGACTTGGTCCACTTATCTTTCACCACGTGGCGGAAAGAACGCCTTGAACCCTGTGCAGTGTGTGGACATAGCGAGATGCTGAAATAGGGATAAGGCGGTCATGGGCCTTGGGCCGAGTTTAGCCACAACGAATGGGCCCACTACATAGCTTGTTTGTCATATTCTTATTATTGATTTTTTTCCAGTTTTGGAACTTTAAAAAGGGTTTCTAAGGGATTTGCCTTTTCCTCCTCCAAACCACACATTTTTATTGGGCGACTTAGATTCAGCTGTCCCCTGCCTTCATTTTTTATTTTCTTTTTTTGTTCACCAATTTTTTTTTTTAAATAATAATTTATTGATTCTATTTTTTCTCAATATTCCTTTTGGGGGCGTTATTAAACAATTATTATTGTGGATATGTTATCTTCTGGTCTTTGTTTTGGGGATGGAATGGAATCTAAATGAAAAAAAAAAGAAAAATTAAAAGGAAATTAAATTTTTTTAACTAAAATAAAAACTAGAGAAAAATATAATTAAAGTAATTTAAAAAATAATAAACAGTTTTAACTATGCAAGTAATATGCATGTGACTTTGTAGCCTACAACAATTCCAAAAATAATAGTCCAAGATTATTTTCTGTGCCTTAATGGGCCTTGGAATTGGACAAGGCCCGGTATCAGTGGGCCCAACCTTCACTTGAAAAAAACTAAATAATGATAATAATTTAAAGCACTAATTACTCTAATTATCTAAAGTTTATTCAGGGGCACTGCAAAACAGCCCTTAATGTTGGCAAATTACCCAGATTATTTAGAAAACAACCAATTTACTACGGTTAAGACGCAATCTCTACCGTCCGATTCATCACGCTCCTTTGACTTCTGACAAGACCTGTTTGATTCCAACACGCAATGGTGGATTTCTACGTGGCATTCAGAAGTCCAAGCGGGCATCTCAATGGTGACTAGACCTCAATGGGATTGGGAAGTAATTTAAAGGGATAATAATAAATAACTAACACACCCAATAATTAAAGGAATATTTTTATTTATTTATTTATTTTGCTTTATTTTGGCTCTTACATTAGTCAGTGATTCATATGTTCCAAATTCAATATTTATCTAATCGGTTTTTTAGTTTTAAAAAATATAAAGTACTTCAAAGATTTATTATATATATAAAATTAATTAAAGTTTGAGCAACATATAACTTATTAAATACTTTTAAAGTCCTATAATTTATTTGAAATACCATAATTGAAATTTAGATTTTTTATGTAATTTTTATTAATAAATTTATTAAACATAAATTTAGAATTAATCAAACGCCTAAATTACCAAAACATTCTTCCTAGATTATTTGATTCAACTGAACTAAATCATTTAAAAATAATCTAAGTTAATTTTGAAAATAAGAGGGTTGTCTTCTTCTCAATATCTCAAAAGTTAAATTAGATAATCAATTTGTCCAAAACGTGATATGGTAGGTTTAATTTTTTTAAAAATATATTATCTTATAATTTTTTTAAAAAATTATGGTTTAAAATAAAGAGGTCATAATTTAAATGCCCATACAAATTCTTTAATCAACCAATAATATTATTTGTTTTTGACGGATTTAACTATATTAAATTAATTTAATGTAAAACTGTTGAGGAAAATATTTTTAAAATCCAAAAGAATTGAGAGAATCAATTTAAAACTGAAACAAATGAATGAAGATTTAAGTTAAATTAGGCTGGAGTGTGGTGAAATAATTATTTGGATGAGAAAAAAACACTGTCTGAGTTCACGGCAGGGAAAAGTCAGTTTTGCCCTTACAAATGGAATGATGGGATATATGGGTGTACACTCAACCCGATAACTTGACAACTCGAACCAACCCAACCTGAACTATAAGGGTTCAGTTGGGTTGGATTAGCATTTCGAGTAGGGTTGGGTTCATTTTTCTGAACCCAACTGAATCGGTTCGGTTTCGAGTCCGTGGGCAAAACCTTCGTGTTGACACGAGCCAAATAAGATTATATTAAGAATTTTTTCTTGTATCAATAGGTTTGACAGAGTGGTATTTAGTTCCGTCTTTGGACACTTACGCTCGAATTCGACACAAGTATATAACTTATGGTTTTTTATTGAAATTTATATATATATATAACTTATGGTTTTTTATTGAAATTTATATATATATATATAACTTATGGTTTTTTATTGAAATTTATATATATATATAACTTATGGTTTTTTATTGAAATTTATATATATATATAACTTATGGTTTTTTATTGAAATTTATATATATATATATAACTTATGGTTTTTTATTGAAATTTATATATATATATAACTTATGGTTTTTTATTGAAATTTATATATATATATATAACTTATGGTTTTTTATTGAAATTTATATATATATATAACTTATGGTTTTTTATTGAAATTTATATATATATATATAACTTATGGTTTTTTATTGAAATTTATATATATATAATATATATAGGAGGACCATGTGCAGATATCTATAAATGTCAAGACATATATCTGCTGTTTATGGTATCAATTTCACTTATTCAGTTTGAAATTCAAATTTATGTTCTCTCTTAATTTCTGTCACGACTGATTTTCGAGGCTTCGAAGAATTGAATCGTGACTAAAATGAAGAAATCGAAAATAAAATAAAATAAAAGTAAAGTAAAGTAAAAAGATAAAAATAAATTAAAATAAAAGAGGGAGAAGTTGTGTTTGTAAATTATTAGCAAATAAATTGCAAATATAAAATGAAATACAAAAGATTCAAATCAAAGAGGGACTGACGCTCCGGAACGACCCCCCTCTGTGACCGCACAGCTCTCGAACACTCCTCCACCTCGACCGGCACCTGACAAAAAAAAGTAAAAAAAAATGAGTATAAAAATTATATTCAGTAAGCGATCTACTTTTAGGCTCTCCTCGCATCCTAATTTAACAGGCTCCCAAAGTTTCATAATTCGGTTCTAGGACATCTGGTTCTAATTTTAGTCCCTTGTAGCTTGTCCCTTGGGTTACACCGGTTCTTCAACCTTTCATTAGACACTTAAAGGTTCCTTACGTCAAGCTGATATGGTCAATATCTCTCTATGAGGTGCTACCTCTACATGGCTATCTGGGACTAAATGGTATCTAGGCTAAGGGTGTGCTGAATACCCTTACACCCATATAGTCCCCCTATGGGAGGCGCGACCCAACCCGTTCTCATGCAGCTAATGGGCTGTACGACGTGGGGACACATTTCCCATGCGAAATGGCTAAGAGCAGTAAGAATTGATCAGGGACCTTTGGTCCTCCCACGAAGCTATAGATACCGTTCTCACACTAGTAATTCATGCAAACTAGGCACGCCGGCTCAACGGGGCGATGGCCTCCATCCAACACCCAGAACACGAAGTTCGCGGTCAATGGGGCGAATTCATCTATCGAGCAGCCAGAACATGGAATACACAATTTCAACATAAATTAAATGCATGCATAAGTACAACGGAAGCTTAAAGCATACAAGCAACACTCAGATAATTCACCCAACACATCATAACAAGCAATCTGACTAATCTCATTCATGGAGAGCTAATTTAAGGCAAAATTACTAGCATGCATGCATACAATCCAAGCGAACTCTACAAGTATTTCTTCCTAAATACCGGGTGATGACTTACCTGGTTGACGCGTGCCCTTTTGCTAGCGTTTCTTTGCCCGTGAGGTGTCCAAAAATATCGATTTCTTTCTATTAGGTCCTATACACGTAAAAACAGTATTAGAACTGGAACCAGGACAAAAATCGGGCAAACAGAGGGTAAACGGGCCAAAACGGCCGTTTCACGCGCCGGCTGTTCGATGGCCACGCGTGTGGACGTGCGCCAGTCGCGGGACGCACGCGCGCCTACCACGCGCGGTAGCTCCTGCGCAGTCGCGGGTCGGCCGGCCCGGTTCGGGTTGTTTTTTCTTTTTCAGGCGACACGTGTCGTCGCCCCGCTGGAGCTGCGTTGCTCCAGCCGACGGTCGACACGTGTTCGTGCCTATCACGCGGGCCGACTTTTTTTTTTTTTTTTCTTCTTCTTCTCCTTCTCCTTTCTTTCGTTCGTTCGTTTTCTTTCTTTCTTCTTTTGTTCTTTCTTTCTCTTTCTGTCTTCTTTCTTTCTTCTGCAATCCGTAACACAGCGCTCACCGTTTTCGGACGATTCTCGGATCTCCGCCCTCGGGTTCAGATCTCGGCCAAACTTCTTCACAGATCGTGCGTAGAGTTGTTCCTAGGTGAATATATCAAGATTTCAGATCTTGATTCACAAAGGAAAACTGTAGATCTGAGAAAACGTTCAAGATCTTACCTGGGTTTTTCCGATTTCTTGATGGAAAATGGGAATCCGGCCACCCACATTCTCTTTTCCCTTCCAAGAAAGGCTCCTTGCACATGGTCTTGACCGGAATGGACTCCGACGGTAGTTTTCGATGAGTCTTCCGGCCGTTCATTCTTCCTCCTCTCTCTAGGTTCTCTCTAACTCGTTTCTCTCACTATTTCTCTTTTGCAGGACTCTTGGGGGTTTCATTTGGACCCCTAAGTGGTAGGAGGGGCAAACTTACCTATTTGCCCCTCTCTCAACTTTTCATCTGGCGAAAGTGGGGCGGAGAGAATCGACGGCAGCGGCGTACGGCGAAGAGAGAGGGAGGGAAATCAATCCGGCTTCTGATAGAAGTTTTTCTAAGTTCTCTCTGCCAGATGAACACAACTCTCCATAATGGTATGATATTGTCCACTTTGAGTATAAGCTCTCGTGGCTTTGCTTTGGCTTCCCCAAATAGCCTTGTTAGCCTTGTTTGTTCTAGGAAGCCACTGGAATCTGCTGCTGAAGATGATTCCATGGGCGACTCAGCAGGGCCAATGTTTGTTCAACATACAGAAGCAATGTTGGACGACATTGACAGAATGGTAAAGATTGAAACCCTTCTCTTTTGGTATTACTACTTGAACTTGCTGCCATTGACGCGATTTCATAACCCACAGCAGAAGTTGGAAATTGAAGATGTAGATGAAGAGGTCATTGATATTGACAGCCTTGATATGAAGGATCCACTTTGTGTTGTGGAGTACATTGATGACTTGTATACACACTACAGGGCGGCCGAGGTAACAATCTTCCAAACAAGACACATTGTGTCTGAAACATAAATCCATGATTGTGTCTGAAACATAAATCCATGTTCGCTTTTTGTTTCTGATCAAGATGTTCCTCCTCCTCGCAGGTTTCTGTCTGTGTTCCACCAAATTACATGGCCCAACAAGTACATATTAATGACAGGATGAGAGGGTTTCTCGTTGACTGGCTAATAATTGAGGTTAGTTTACTAGTATCCTAGTAAGAGTATTGGGAAAGATCAAGTACATTACCTGTTCGAACCCACTGATCTACATAATGTTGTGATATTGTCCAATGTAGATAATGTTCCTTATCTAACTCACGATCCCAAGCTTATTTAATTATCTAAATTCGGACTACTCCCAATAACCCTCAAGCTTTACTTTTATTTATTTATGATTAGTGTAGTTTATGAAGGAACTAACAAAGCATAACATAATGATTGCTTCAAGATTTAAGCTGATGGAAGAGACACTGTACCTAACAGTCAGCCTCATCGATAGATTGTTAGCAGTTCATTCAGTGGCGAAGAAGAATCTCCGGCTAGTTGGAGTGACAGCCATGTTTATAGCCAGCAAGTACGAAGAAGTTTGTTTTCTTGGTATGGACGATTTTATTCAAATATCTGAGAAGTCGCCTTCGGGGTAAAAGAAATTCTAAACATGGTCGGTTTTCTTTCTACTTCAACTATGATGTCTTGGTACAAGGATGATTTGATGTCTGTTGGAGATTCGTTGTCTGTCAAATGGTTTTTGTAGGAGACGTTGATGTAAAAACACTGTACAGTTCAAGCTGTCTGTTCCGACACCTTATGTCTTCATGAAGAGGTTTCTCAAAGCTGCTCAATCTGACAGAGAGGTAAGAAGCAGCATAACCCGTGAATGACACATCGAATATTCATAGGAACAGGATAGACACACCGAGACAAGAATCATTGAGTCAATTTGGCTGCTGCTATGTTTTTTTTGGGGTTTTGGAGGAAATGGTTATGTTTTTGTATTGGAAGATCAACACTTGCCAAACTAGGAACTTAAGACTCTTACAAGTGTAGGATCATTAGGGATCTCACAATCCTCCGAGTGTCCTTGTAGGCACACCACCTGGTGTATGGCTTTGATACCATTTGTAACCGCCAAAACATAACATTATCTATATTGTCTTATTTGTCCTGTTATGTATTGTCGCCAGTTTGACAGTTTGGCACGTTATGTATTGTCGTCAGTTTGGCAGTTTAGCTCGTTATGTATTGTCGGCAGTTTGACAGTTTAGCTTGTTATGTATTGTCGTCAGTTTCACGATCTACCCACTTGGGTTCAGCATCCTGTGTGCTAGCACACCAACTTGTGTCTGACTCAAATACCATTTGTAATAGCCCAAAAACACTTCTAGCAACTTGTGTCTGACTCAAATACCATTTATAATAGCCCAAAAACACTTCTAGCAGATATTGTTCATTTTGTTCCATTACTTATTGTTATTCGGCTCCTGATTTTTAAATGTGTCTGTTAGAGAGAGATTTCTATCCTAATGTTTTGTTCAACTGAAGTGGAATCACATAAACAACAACCCTCCTGATGGTTTCACAAATATATTGAAGAGTTTAAGTTGGGCTAAAATATGGGCGAAAATGACCACAAATTTTTTATTATTAAAAAATGATTTTTTACTAAAAAAAAATCAAATCATAAAAAATAATAATTTTTTATAGAAAAAATCAAATCATAAAAATACTGAACCGACCTAACTGCGGAATCAGACGGGAACCAATGTTTTACTGAAATCAGAATTTTTTATTTTTTATTTTTATTTTTTATTTTTATTTTTTATTTTATTGATGATGGTTGTGCCACATAATTCAATGAGGTGTTTAATTTTTGTTCTAAATAATTAATACACACTGAGGACATAACGAAGAAATATTTTATGTAAAATTTTTGGAACTATAAAATATTTAATTGCTGTAGATAAATTCAACCTAGCTGGAACGATTTTGGGATGAGGTCAAATGTTTCTATTCTCGGCTACGATAGTTTGATTGCTCATATATATAAGCAGAGCTGATTCTTCGTGAAAAATGAAAAATCGAAGGCAAAGATTCCATGTATGAAAATCGATTAGAAATTCAAGTGATATCTGTAAGGTGAATCAAATTTTTGTTCGACAACGAAATGACGAATTGGAGTTCTGGATAATCGATTCGATCGTCCTGTCGATTAGTCGAGTAGATAGCCATGCCACGCACTTGATCTCAGTTTGTAGATATTTTGTTTTCGTGGCCAAGCGAATCATACATTCAAAGCATCCAAATCCCTTTCTGTGGAAAATTGGGAAGAAAACAGACGAGAGTTACAAAAACATATCCGTCCTTTGATGTCTTCACTCGATCAACCTGTCCATGTCGCAAGTTGTGCAAATATCTGGATTAAGTAATGGTCCTCGTTTCGTGCTGCGTTTAGATATACTTGCAGAGGTGAGGCTCCATTAAATACTAATGGCGCCAACCGAATACCTGCGATGAGTATCAATCGATTTGTTCAATATGAACCAGAATTATTGAGGTAGGTTTTACGTCTTGCCTTTATTTTCTGATTAAATTCATGTTGGAGATTAAATCTTTTTCCCGAGAGTTTCAGGGAAATGAATTTTAACTTTTCTGCATCAATTTGTCGTTGTATGTTATCGGGATATTATATGCGAAGTTGAATACAAAACCTCCGTTTGCTAGTGATGTTGTCGTTTGTTGCGGGTTCAAATTCTGGGTCCAGTTGGGTTCTTCTAGCAATTTCTGGTTATCTTGTGATAGAGATATTTGAATCGTCGTAGATCTTTGTTTTTGTCCTCTAAGATTGTTTCGGATAATGGGATATGTATAGAATAAAATCTGGATCGCAGTCCATCCCCTCCGATTTACTCACTGGCTAGTATGTTCTTCTTTACCGACCGATTTGAGCTTATTTTTTCTTCTAACTAGGAGTGATTTTAAGCATTTTCTTATATCGCGCTTGTTCATTTCTGTCTATCATCTTCTCAAACTGCGAAGTATTTTCTTGCCAGGTAGACAAGTTTGCTATCCATATAATATTTGAGGTTCCTATCAATTAAACCATTCTTGGTGTTCTGGTGTGTTGGGATATTCGAACATTGTTGAGGTGGGATGATGGATAAGAAGGAGAAAAACTCCCTCACGGTGGCTCCTTTTGAGTGTGCTTGGCTCAAGGATTTAAGATTTCGGGAAGCTGGACGGGGTTGTGTGGCTTTTGAAGCTTCCGCTCATAACGATGTCACGTTAGTGTTCCGAGAGAATGTGGGGAGTCAACATTACCATTACAAACGAGATAGCTGTCCTCATTATACGGTTATATTAGGTAGTCACCGAAATCGACGTCTAAGGATTATAGCCGATGGGAGAACTGTTGTTGATGAAGAGGGTGTTGCTCTTTGCAGTTCCTCTGCGTTCCAGAGCTATTGGATCAGTGTCTATGATGGTTTGATCAGCATTGGGAAGGGGAGATATCCTTTTCAGAATCTGGTCTTTCAATGGCTTGATACAAATCCAAACTGTAGTGTTCAATATATTGGGCTTAGTAGCTGGGATAAACACGTGGGATATAGAAATGTTAATGTTTTGCCGCCGACGCAGGACCATATTTCCTTGTGGAAGCATGTGGATAATGGCGTTGAAGGCGAAGAAGATGTGGAACTGGAGTTAGAAGATGAATACACAGATTACAAGAGCTGGGGCCTCGAACATTTTCTAGAAAATTGGGATTTATCAGATGTACTTTTTAGTGTAGATTCTGGGGAAACACTTGTACCTGCTCACAAGGCTATCTTAGTTGCTTCGGGAAATTTTCCCTTGAATTTGTCGCAAGATGTTGTGCAGCTACATGGAGTATCATATCCAGTTCTCCATGCTCTTCTTCAATATATTTACACAGGTCAAACTGAGGTAATTTCTCCCATCATATGTAATTATTTGTCAGATTATGGCCATGGCTTGTTGTCTTTTGACATCCTTTAAAAAACTTTGACATGATAAATTTCCGCTCTTTCCTCTTCTGCTCCTTTTTGTCTTGTGTCTTGGCCATTTCCTGTTTTCTTAATGTTTTTGGCTTGAATTGGTTCTAGTTCTACTTTGATATTTTGCTGTATGCGGAACTGCACCAAGTAGGCAATTTTAATCTCAACGCAGATACAGTGAAATCTATATTTTGTTTGATAGATTGATGATTGATGCTTCTTATTTACCATAGATTCTAGAGTCTGAACTTGGTTCCTTGAGGGATCTTGCATTACAACTTGAAGTGAATGCTTTAGTGAACCAGTGTGATGACATGATGGAACAATTAAAACGGAACAAAAAGTTGTTGGACTCGGGTAAGAGGGTGGAATTATTATATCCAAGGATTCAGCCCCAGTGTACTACAGTCTTCCCCTCCGGGATTCCATTAAATGTGCAGAGGCTCAAACAATTGCAATGTACTGGCGAGTTCAGTGATGTATGTATTTATATACAAGGTCACGGGTTTGTTGCTCATGTGCACAAAATCATTCTTAGCTTATGGAGCATGCCATTTGAAAGGGTGAGGAATTGATACTACATTTCATCTTATGTGGTTACGGTATTGCTGTTCTGTTATTTTGTATAGTTCTTTTTCTGAATAACTCGTTTATACATCATTTAGTTTGCTTTCTTCTTTCCATTGATATGGTTGTTCAACATATACAAGCTTTCTGATGTTCTAATAGAAAAGAGGCTCCTTGGTACTGGGTATGCTTATACCGTTAATTTTTTTGGAAATTTTTTGTGATTACACGATTTTATCTGATAGTGGACTGCGGTGTGAGAACTAGTAATTGAAATGCAACTTGAAAGGCTGGACTTGTAATTTGTAATGGAGACAGACAGCAAATTAGACTCTTTGTAATATTTGCTTAGCCTCTTCTGTTGTTCGCTACCGGGTTTCCATAGTTCATACCTACTGTGCCTTCATCATGTATGGGTCAGGATGATTTCAACTAGAATTTACTGTGTATACTTTTTGTCTTACGTTAGTGTAAATATGTTTTTTCTTCTTCTATTGTTTAAAATTTATTCGGGTGGTACATGGGCAGATGTTTACCAATGGAATGAGTGAAACAACGTCTTCTGAGGTGTATATTAGGGACGTATCACCAGAAGCTTTTCAAACCATGCTCAAGTTCATGTATAGTGGAGAACTCAGTAAAGATGTTACAATGGAATCTGATGTCTTGTTACTTCAACTACTATTTTTAGCTGATCAATTTGGTGTTACTCTTCTTCATCAAGAATGCTGCAAAATACTTCTAGAATGCCTTTCGGAGGTAGTGTGGTAATCCTAACCTTGTACGCTTGTTTAGAGTATGTATTTAATTCTTTTGTTAATTTTTACGTGGATTTGTCATTATTTCTTATTGTACTTGTATGACTGGAAGATAAAAGGGGGAGCGTCATGCAGTTTCGAGGTTCTGAGAACAAAAGAAGAGAATCCTTTTATGATAATGAGTTATAGGAGTATTGATATCCTACATATTATATGCAGGGATGGAGTCTCCTAGTGGAAGATGGTCATACATCAAGATTTTTTGTTTATGCACAAGTTTAATGGACGAGGAAGCAGACAATTTTGGGAAAGTTGTAGGACTTGCTTCCGAAGCTAACTGTCGAACTTTGTTGCAGGATTCAGTATGTTCCATCCTTCAAGTTGTTTCATCAATTCCATGCTGTAAGCTCATTGAAGAAATTTGTGAGAGGAAGTTCTCAATGCACTTTGATTATTGTACGACTGCAAACATTGAATTTGTCATATTAGATGAGTCAACTTTCCGCAAAATCCTTCAGGTATGGGCTCTCCTCTTCGACTGCTGTACTTTGTGGAACTAATGGTTGAGAATTTTTAGGACGAGTATTTATTGCTAAGAGCATCTTCTATCATAAAGCTACTCTAAAACAACTCTAGTTTCAGTGGAGGGGGGGAGGGGGGCTAGTCAAATCATCATCCCCACACTTCCCCTGCTTTAAAACAAGACTTTTATGATTGATAGTTGCTTTCTTATTGAGAAGCTTATTTATGAAAATCATAATATGAACAAGAAAGGAAAGCCTGCGAAATACTTTTATGTCTATTTAGATGTTTTGGTCGTTGATCATCATTGGGTGAAGTGGTTCTTGCAGTGTCCTGATTTGACAGTGACGTCCGAGGAAAAAGTACTGAATGCAATCTTAATGTGGGGTTTAGAAGCAAGTGAATTATGTGGGTGGATGGCAGTAGATGAGCTTATGACATTTTCAACCCCTGATATCCTTTTTGGTGAGCGACTTCAGTCAGTTCAGGATTTGCTTTCTTTCGTGCGATTTCCGTTACTCCCATACGCCTTGTTGGAGAAGGTATACTTGTCGCAGTTAAATAAAATTTCTGGCTTGTGATTAAAGTAAAATCTTTTTCACTCTTGCTTCATATGATTATCATACAGTTGGAGAACAGCAGCATTAGCAGGAAGATTCTTACCTTTCAGAATCTTGTGAGTGAATCATTTCCTTTGGTGTAAACTTCGATAATAATAAAATCAATCCTTCAAACTTAACTAATCTCTTGTATTGAACTTTATCAGGTGAAGGAGGCTATCGACTTCGTGAAACTTGAACCATCAAGGCTAGAGGACAAGAAAAAGAACAAGTAATGTGCCTCTTCATTTTTTTACTGCTCATTCTATTTTTGTGGTCGTGATTTCATATTTCTTCATCATAAAATCTAAGAGAGTACCTGATGTGTAAGATGGCTAGAGGAAATAATGTGTAAGACATTGTTAAGTGGCCTGGCGAAAAGTATTGTATCAAGTTTTCTCGTTGAACTATTTTGCAGTGTGAGATTTCAACATCGACGGTCTAGTTATAAGGAGCTACAGTACATTTGTGATGGGGACAGCAATGGGGTTCTATTCTTTGCCGGTACATCATATGGAGAGCACCCATGGGTTAATCCCATTCTTTCTAAGGTTGGTTCTTGAACTTCTCAACGTTCTTGTTCCCAGCCCTTTCCGCAGTATTGGTAAATTTGTTGCTGAAAATTTGCCTGCTTTTTTTTACTTTTTTAGAAAATTACTATTACGGCAAGCAGTCCACCTTCAAGGTACACAGATCCGAAGGTTCTGGTCTCGAGAACTTACCAGGTAATGCGCACGAAACTTTTGTGTTGAACATCATAGCAAGGGAGAGTTCTCTGTTAACTGGGTTGACTTTTCTTGTTAGGGAACTTCATTTGCCGGCCCTCGCCTGGAAGATGGGCAAACTTATTCATGGTGGATGGTTGATATTGGTGAAGATCATCAGGTTTTCTCCATCTTCTGTAGAGCTTTTGAAATGCATTAAAATTTGAGCATGAATTGTAGCTTGTTGCCTTAGAAACACGCATTAAAATGGGAATTGAATACTTGACGGTCGCTTCCTTTTTTAAAGTTATAGTCTCATCGATCGATATCCCTTTCAAATGCAGCTGATGTGCAATTACTATACACTGAGACAAGATGGGTCAAGAGCATTCATCAGATATTGGAATCTCCAGGTAAAGCTTATCTTCTCTCTCTTTCTCCCTCCCTTCTTTTCCCTCTCTTTACGCAAATCTAGACAATGTCGTTACGTGCATTTGTTTTAGGGGTCAATCGATGGGAAAACTTGGACAAACTTGCGAGTACACGAGAACGATCAGACGGTGTGCAAGCCTGGTCAGTTTGCGTCGTGGCCCATAACTGGACCAAACTCTTTACTTCCATTTAGGTTCTTCCGTGTTCTTCTCACAGCCCCAACAACTGATGCTTCAAATCCGTGGAACTTGTGCATTTGCTTTCTGGAACTGTATGGCTACTTCCTCTAGATTGCTGTAGCTGTATATTGTTGTGTTGCTCCTTATACGGCCATTGAGGCTTCCTCTCGAGCTGTAAATTATGCGGGTAGTTTATGCTCACTGTTTCAAAGGTTATGTCACAGAATAAAAAGGTTTTGAGGTCTTTATTAGGAATGTCTAGGAAAATGCTGCTTTGAAATCACATCCTTGGGAATAAAGGTTTTTTAGACATTTGGTAGTTCATGTGAATACTACTATATGTTTGACTGGATACAAAGGAATAAAAGTTCGTCGGTTTTTCTCTTTCCTTTCCCTTCTTTCCCGTTCAAAAAAAAAAAAAAAAAACCAAATGCCCCTCCCTCTATAAGGGTTTTCTTTGTTTATGAGAGGAATTAACTTAATATTACCTTAACAACAGCCAACGATTAGAGTAGAATAGATGGCACAAAGACAATTCTCCAATGGTGATATAGGTGCATAGAACGTCCGGTACATACATAACAAAGATGAACATGGGGGTAAAAGATTGTTCGATCTCAACATAATGGTCAATCGCCCACTTTCAACAATATGAACGTACATAGCCTTCTTCAATGTTGAGGATGTCAATACCGGAACTAAAGAAACTTGATGATCAATATTCCAACGGCTCTCTGGGCTTGAACTAAGGATATAACAAACTATATTCATGGTTTCATCACCTTCGGGCAGATGGCACAGCACCCCGACCAGTTGCACCTCCACGGCCAGCAGCTTGAGCCTGAAAAAGAGAGTATGTCTAGTGTTAACTTTTGGAAACTTAAAAGTGTACGAACATTTTGTAACGCACTCTAGTTGTTTTCCCTCTAAATCTATCACCAACCTGTTTTTAAACAAATAAACTAACAAGAGATTTCACAAGTAATGATCACTTCCCCTAACACTATCTGTGGGTTCCTGCGTTTTGTGTGAATGTGCCTAAATTCTGGATGCCTCAAAGAGAGAATTGTGAAGTTCGTAGTGCCATGAAACATTCCCTAACATCTTCCAAATTGATATGATTAAGTAGCGATCATATCCTAGTAATTTCAACTAAAGTAGATTCTATATTTCTTGGCAGATATGCACACAAGCAGCGATCAAATCCTTCTCTCATACATGAAAAAATGCACAAGGGGCATGTAAGTTGATCTTCGTACTTATTCAAAATGTGTAGAGGAAATAAATTATCACCGTACTAAAATTAAGCTGCATGGGACTTACTTTAGCTCGCATAGCAACAGCCCTGCCTCGGCCAACACCAAGTGAGGCGCCCTTACCCTTCAGGATTGAAAAAGCATGAGTTAGGAAAAAGAAAAAGCACGAAGGATTTCATCAGGACTAGATTTCAAAGGATTTAAGTTGAAATACTTTAATTCTAGCATCGAGACGCTTGAACATTGGAGCATTCTTCAGCATGTCTGGTATGACCATAAACCTATCATGCATAAACAGATGTCAGCATGCCAACCAAATCCTGACAAAATCCCTTCGAATAACTAAGAAAGTCATTGGATAGTCTATAGTACAGGAGATGGTACAGATACCTGACTTTGCTGCCTCGGATGAAAACATGCTCAAGTTGCGAGACCTTCCCATCCTATAGAAGAAAACACATAAAGTGAACCTGAAGAACATGACTCCCAACTATATACATGCAAGCAAAGAGGAAAAACTCGGAGACATTGAGCAATTAACCATAACATAAGTAAAACACCAACAGATTAAACAAAGAAAATCAGTAAACCTTAATCCATTTGACAATTCTATAGAAATCGTTTACTATCCAATTAACCAATATGAATCTATGATAATGTCGATCTCTCCTATTCAATTTGGTGATTACGAGTTGCATAGCAAGAAAGTTGCAATTCAACAGCGCACTCAGCAGATGAATCGACGTGCACAATTAACATTCGTCCCTGGTTAATTTAATCAATCCTGATCATGCAATCAAGATCATTTTACAGTTGCAATTAGCACTCTTTTCATGTTTTGATGCTTTGCCGATTATCAGTCTCATTTTACAGTTGTTGCCTTTTGGGTTTGGGACATACCAGTCAGATCTGGAGTCTAGATGCAATTTTTGTTCCTTATATGTTGAAATTTACCATATAGAGAGTTTTCTGTTCCCGGAAAATTTCTGGTTCTTCCTAAGCAGATTTTAAAATTAGTCATAAAAAAAAAAAAAAAAAAAGATCGTGGCAGTTGAAGCTATAAATTGTTGGAAACTAAACCAAATTAGGGTTTATACAAAGTTCAAAAAGTACTTGAACCAGATATTGAAGTACACGGCTTTAGAGATAAAGAAGCAGAATGAACTAAATGAACTAAGGCGAAAACCACAAACATAAAGGTCCAACTATCAAACAAAAGTTGCATAATCTTAAGACGAACAACGAAAAGCAAAAAGAGAGAGGCACCTTAGCAGTGTAGGTGATGTTTTCGAGCTGGCAGTTCCAGTTATCCTCACACTCGATCATACTTCCTCTGTAAAGTTCACCGCTTTTAAGCTCCACCGACACAACGTGACCCGCGGCCTCATGGAGTAGCTTCACTGGAATTCCCAAGCTCCTGCTCATGGCTACTCTCTGCAAATCTCAAATCACCCTCTAAAACCCTAACGCTCCTCCCGCCTCCTATAAGCCTTGAACCTGCAAGGACAACTAAACGGAAAACGGCGTCGTTACTTTTAGTACCTTCTCATTCTCTTGATCTAAACGACGTCGTTGTACGGTGTACTTTTCCCCTTTTCGTTTGAAATATTATAAAAATTGACTTAAATGAGCCATGGATTCAATTTTCGTTAATTCGCCTATTAATTTTAACAAAAAAGTCTAATATGAAAGTGAAAAATTAGGATTAAAATTTATACAAAGTGATCAAAATTTCAAAATTTTCCCTCTTTTTCATTTATAGGGGAAAAAACTGGACTGAAAGCCCACAACCTCTCCAAAAAAGAAAAGCCCACAGCCCGTTTGTCGCGAAGAAGGCCCACTAGAACTACGACTCTTGCGCGTCGAATTTTGTCTCCTGAGCGCGCCTGAATCCAGAGGGCGCGAAGGCGCGAAGGCGCGAATCGCAGTTGCCGTCGATCGGTTTCCAGTTGATTTCGCGATTCTTGATTATATGAATTCCTGGTTGAAAAGTAATCTTTAAGCGTTTACGTAATCGAATTCATGGCGGAGCAGGAGAGGAATAAGTACAGTTTAACTTTCCCAACCTACAACGAGCGCCTCAATATTTCTCTGCTTGTCTACCTCATTCTCAAACACCTCACGTACGTATCCCTCTCGCTGCTTGTAATCGTATCCCAATATCGATCACGATTTAGACTATTGCGATGAAACTCTCTGGAAAACCGTAATCAATTACCAAGTGAAGTTTCATCTGTATAAAATTGTAATTCGTTTAATTAGGGTTCACTTCTGGTTCAATTGAATCAAAAGTTTTCGGCGAGAAGTAAAGTTTATGAGATCAACCTTGTTCTTTATGCTAAGGAAGATTCTCTGGTGAAATTATTATTTGCAGATTCAATTCTCGAGTTTTTGGATCGATTTATTATGTTCTTTGTGCACTTTTTTGTTTACTTTTACAATATTGGAAGTTGAAATGGCAATGGATTACATATGCATCCTTTTCTCGCTCACCATCCGCTTTTAAGAAAAGGAAATTGGAAATGACGTAGGACAATGTTTTCTTGCCGATGTCAGGGACGTTGATTTTGAAATAATTGTTGTTGATGATGGAAGTCCTGATGGTACTCAAGAAGTTATGAAACAGTTGCAAGGAGTATATGGTGAAGATCGGATCGTAAGTTCACCGTGGTCGTTTCTGCATTTGTTGCAACACAGATATACTCTTTATCTTATTTTGTTTACTTGTTTAGTGTTTTTTGTTTTCCCATGCAGCTATTGAGAGCCAGACCTGGAAGCTTGGATTAGGCATGTTGTACGATTTCTTCTTTTGCAAATATCACAGATCTGATGAATGATAAATTTCAGGAACGGCTTACTGTCATGGTCTCAAGCATGCAACTGGTAATTTTGTTGTTATAATGGATGCTGACTTATCTCACCATGTAAGTTTTTTTTAGTATGAGTGCATAAAACTTCTGAAAACAATATTCTAGTTTTGGATTTGGGATTTGAAAATGTTTTCACGAGTTCCAATCTGCTGCATTAGCATTTGCCTATTTCCCTGATATTATTATCTTCCTATTTTATTAGTTTATATTTAATTTTGTTTATAATTCAACAATAAAATAACAAGAATAAGATGTCGATAAACTTCCTCAATCTTAGTTTGATGCTTGAAAAAATGATTGTAAATGGAAGCTAAAGGCGCTATCCAGAATTTTGGCTCTAACATATGCAAGAACAGTAGATGAGAATACTTTTAAGAATATAATTGCCGAATGTCAAATAATTGGAATGACACACGATTTTAGTTTTATTTCTCTAATAAATGGCCCTTTTTAATATGAGTTTTAGAGGGGAATGATGGTTTCTTAAGATCGAAAATCGAGTGACCAAAGAGAAGAATGAGGTTGTATATAATTGTATTGTTGGGTTTCTTTTGAAAAACTGTTGTATTGTTGGTACAAGAAAACTGGGCTCCCATCAATCATGCGAGTGCCGGGTTTCGACTGGATCAAGGTTTTTGTTTTACTTATATGGACACCACAAAGTAAAGACCTTTAGTGATTTGCCTGTGCCTCTGAATTGCGCCACTGTAGCGTCTAATTGGAAATTGCCATCCAAACTTCTATTTTCTGCAGCATATCTTCACTTCTAAAACTCAACTTGCAAACAAACTTCCATTAGCATGTTTGCTGGAATTCTAAGGGTGCTCTCTCTCTCTCTCTCTCTCGTAATTTTTTATGTTACTTTCTCCATGAAATAACTTTGTTTTTTCTTTCTTTCTGTGCCTTTTTTTCTGCAGCCAAAATATTCGCCCAGCTTCATTCCATTACCTCACTTCACTTCCTTAACGCAGTGTCAAAATAATTAAATTCTAGATCTTGATGACCACTTATTTTACCCTTTTTCTTTGTGTTTTTTTTTTTTTTTTTTTTTT